TTTTGATTATTTGATTCTATTCCAATGTCTGCTGACCTGATGAAGAGATGTAATCTCTAAAGCTCGTCAATTAAACTTTAAACACCCTTATTCTATACCTTGACTTTGTTTTTATCTACACGGGTGTTCGTGTGTGATTATTATTATATATATATATATATATATATATATATATCATAATAACATATAATAACCATATAATAATAACTTTAAAATAGATCCTGCGATGGATCAAGCGTTAATTCCAGCTCGTTACATTCATCCAGCAAGGATGAAGAAGCTCTGGGAAATTTGTGAAAACTCGCTAAAACTTATATTCTGCAGGCGACCACGGCACGAAAGGTAGATTGTATTTTCATTTGGAGTTTGCGTTCTACGCTTCGCTTTTATATCCATAAATAGTATATTCTGAGTTCCCTAGGGGCGCACTATCCGGAAATCTAGCACACTGTCTACCCGCGGTGTCTCTCGAAACGACTAGTAATTATTTATTGGAGGCGGCAACGCACAATTGACGTTACTGCCTCTTTCCAGGTACCTCGATGAGTGGGCGTTCGTGTGCGTGCGTGTGTGTGCGTGTGTGCGCGTGTGCGTGTGCGGGGGCCGGTATATGCGCGTGCGTGTACTTACGGGTGCGTGTGCACACACACATACTCACACACACACGCACGCACGCATGCACACACATAAACACGCACACGCACGCACGCAAACACATACACCCACGCAAACATGCAAACGCACACGTACACGCGCACACGTACACGCAGACACACGCATGCATGTACGCACGCACACAAACACACATACACACGTACGCATGCACACGCAAACACGCAAACACACAGACATATACATACACACGCGCGCTCATGCAAACACGCACGCACGCACGCACGCACGCACACACGCGAGCGCGCAGCATCCTCCACGATCGATGCTAAACGCCGGCTCGTTGTCCATACACCTCGAGATACACGCGAGCGCTGACATGTTTACAGCCGGATAAAATGACGGGTTATATATATATATATATATATATATATATATATATATATATATATATATATATATGTTTGACTCTGTGCTCGTACAAGGATGACCCACGTGACACGCTGTTGTTTCATTAGCATTCAGTTATATTTGTTCTGCTTCAGTCGCCGTCCATGACTCCTGCCATTCCTCATATGTAATCTCCTCGCTCGCTACTACAAGCGAACCGTTGCGTTTTGTTGTGATTTTAATGCCAAGGGAACAATAACATAAAACAAGTTAGCAACATATAATTACGCGCTGCTGTTTGGTATAACGCGTCTGCGGCGATGTGATTTCGTCTGTATTTTTGCGTGTTGTGTATCGCTGAATTTGGCTGCCCGTATGCCGTCTGTCGGACTATTGACGGCGAGTCATCGCCGCAATTTCATTACAATACCGAAGATCGGAATAAATATTGAAAGAAAGTTGAAACTGTAGCATTGCCAATTGTGAACCTACGTGAGACAGCAATCGCCATGACGCAATGGAGGCCTGCTCCGATACATTTCTGCGTCACTCGCTATAGTATTTAGCAAATATAAACGATAGTCTCTAGCTAGCGCTCGGGAGAGCAGAAAGAGATAACGAATAGCAAGTGTACAAAACGGCTCTTTATTCTAAGAGAGAGAGAGAGAGAGAGAGAGAGAGAGAGAGAGAGAGAGAGAGAGAAGAGAGAGAGAGAGGGGAGAAGAGAGCAAAAAGAGAGACGAAAGAGACGAGAGAGAGAGTAGGTGGAGTACGCGTGTGCACGCGTGTGTGTACGTAATTGGCGTAAAACCATGTCGTGAAGCCGGGTACAATAAGCCAATTCGTCGCTGCCCAGAGCCACAAGTACCTCTACCGTCACGCTCCTACTCTAATGGCTAACAGAGCCACATGTGCCTTTACCGCCACGTTCTTTTTACTCTAATGCCTTACAGGAACACGCGTGCCTTTACCGCCACGTTCCTTCTACTCTAATGGCTAACAGAGCCACGCGTGCCTTTACCGCCACGTTCCTTTTACTCTATAATGGCTAACAGAGCCACAAGTACCTCTACCGTCACGCTCCTACTCTAATGGCTAACAGAGCCAAATGTGCCTTTACCGCCACGTTCTTTTTACTCTAATGCCTTACAGAAGCACGCGTGCCTTTACCACTATTCTCATTCTACTATATAATGCCTTACAGGAACACGCGTGCCTTTACCGCCACGTTATCTCTATTCTATTGACCTATTCTACAAAGTATCAGAATCTACTAGCATCAAGGAGTCATCCCCGACGATCGCTTCACTTCCTCCGCGATGATTCATGCCTGCGATTATATTACACACTCACATACACAGTGAGTCGTTCGTCGAGTAAGGGATGCAGGGCGGGGGGATGCAGGGCAGGGGGGCCAGGGCCGGGGGAGGGGGCAGGGGCCGGGGGAGGGGGCAGGGCTGTCTGGCATCTTCCGCGCTGAGTAAGCGCCGCTCATTTGCGCGCTGATGCAGAAGATAATGTGAGACCGTGACGCAATGAATGCATTTCCGCTGGCGGAGGTCGAATATTGATAAGTGATTGCGTATTTATCTAACAACCGAATATAGAGAAGGTTACGTCTTCCATCCTTCCTGCCTCTCTCACTCCCCCCCCCCTTTCTCTCTCTCTCTCTTTCGCTCTGTCTTTCTCTCTCTGTGTTTCTCTCTCTCGCTCTCTCACTCTCTCTCTCGCGCGGTTTGACCTATCACTCTCTCTCACACACACACACACACACACACACACACACACACACACACACACACACACACACACACACACACACT